ATGGCGCACATCATTTATCACAAAATATTTATCGCTTGTTAAAAACACACTTTAGTATCGCTGTGATTTATCGCACACATATTTCATTGATTATAAACAGCGCCGCTCGCGGTGCTCCGTTGCCCCGGAAGGCGTCGCTGAGGCGGTTCCGGGGCGGGCGGCGGCCATTGCGCGGTGACCGAGGGGACACCGCGGCCATGGGGAAGCATTTCGGCAATCTGGCGCGGGTGCGCCATGTCATCTCCTACAGCCTGTCGCCCTTCGAGCAGCGCGCCCTCCCCAATGTCCTGTCCCACGGCGTCCCCAATGTAGGCCGCCGCTTCGCCTCGCAGGTGTTGAAGGTGGTGCCCCGTGAGTACAGGGGGGATTTCCTCCTTTTTGTGCCCCCTTCGTAGTGTGGACTTGGGGAGGGGGAGTGTGGGGCTGCCGGGGCTCGGAGGGGGTTGTGGGACGTTGTTTTGTCGGAGGAGATGGGTGCTGTGTGCGGTGCACTGTTCCCTCACTGCGGTGTCCCCATGTTGTGAATATTCTCTTATTCCAGAGCTCCCCTATTGTGAATATTCTCTTATTCCAGAGCTCCCCTATTGTGAATATCTCCTTCTCGCAGTGTTCCTATATTGTAAAATCCCCTTATTGCAGTGTCCCTTTCTAGAAGTGTTCTCTCATTGCATGGAATGCTCCGTTATTGTGGATGTCCCCTTACTGCAGTGCCCCCTCACTGTGAAAGTCCTGTTACTCTGAGATCATTGCATAATCCCCTTCCCCTGATTSCACTGTCCCTTTATGGAGAGTGTCCCTTTTTAGCAGTGTCCCCTCACTGCGGTGTCCCCTGACCGTGCCTGTCCTCTGTCCCTGCAGCCCTGGCCATCGGTTACCTCATTTATTCCTGGGGCGATCAGGAGTTCGAGCGGCTCAAGAGGAAGAACCCGGCTGACTACGAGCACGAGCAGTGACCAGAAGCAGTGACCAGAAGCAGTGACCACATGGCTCCGGAGCTCCCTGAGGACCTGCTGTGCTTGTTCCCATGGCCGGAGGGGATTTACAGGGAGATAATTCTTGGCTAATAAACTGTAACTTTGCCCCATGACTCTGTGTGAAATGCGTGTCTTGAGCTGTTTGAGGTGAAGAGCATCAAATCCCTTGTCTGGTTCTCTCTGTACAGGCAGATAATCAGGCTGAAGTTCCATGTGCTCGGATGTTTTTATCTTAGAGCACTTCCAGCCTTCGTCATTCCTGTTTCTTTGAAATATTCCTCAATATTAAGTGCAGCAAGGGCTGATTTGAAATTGTTCCTTGTCCCCTTTTCCCATCACTGGCTGCTGCTTTTCCTCCAGCCTTGAGATCTGTGAAAAATAAACACTCCSTGGTTTGGTATTGATTAAAGCTGGATGGACTGGCTGGTGGCTTGGGATTTGGGATGGACCCTGACCTCTGGCCAGAGGCTCGCTCTTCACAGGAGCCGTGGGCAGAAGATGAGGGGRAACAGGTACAGGCTGCACCATGAGAGGTTTCATCTCTGTGTAACAAAGGAATTTTTTCCAGTGAGAACAATCAGTCCCTGGAACAGCCTGGGGATTTTAGGAGGTGACTGGACAGGGTGCCAGGTAACCTCCTCTGGGCTCCCTTCCCACAAATGGCTGCACCAGCTGATCTGTCAAGGTCCCTTCCAACCTGGGCTGTTCTCTGATCCTGTGATTCTAATTACCTAGTTATATTAATGTTAACTGGGCGATTAACTACACTCTGATATCTGATCAGTGCTAACAGGCTGCATTAGAACCTTTTTGGAAACTGCCATGAGAAATAGGACTAATGCCTGAGGATGATTAAAAACCAGCTGCTGGTAGTAAAGTAATTTAAATATGTGACAAATCCACCCTGTGGCTCTGAGTATAGAAACACCTTCACCTGATTGGAAGCTCAGAACACCTGGCTGATTCCTCTATCCTAATTTTTTCCTCCTGGTGTTCCACTGACTGCCTCCAGCTCCCACCCCATGCAGAGYAACACGTTGGTGTTCCTACCATGCTATTCCTCTGTCTGTCCAGGGAGTTTATCTTATCTGCAGGGCAGGAATGACATTCCCCTCTGTGAGTTTCCCTGTGTGCTCGGTGCTCAGCTGTCAGGAAGACAATGATGCTCAGGCTTTCCAGGAAGCTGGGGCAATGCAATTTTTATAGCTCAATGMTGGAATATTTGGGGCTCAGAGCACACAAGACTCAGAGCTCARCCTCTTGTGTTTCCTCCAAGCACAGCCTGACATTGGCATAAATATCAATCAAATCAGTCAGCCACTGCTCCCAAGTTGTAGCAAAAATACTCTGCACTTAACTGCATTTTGGGTCACTGGTTTTTTCTRGCAGCTTAAGCAAGCAGGGAACAGCAAACTGGCTGCTGTGGTTGTGAGCTGGCAGACATGTACAGAGGCAGATTTATCCTGAGGAGACCTTAGAGCTCATCCAGCCCCACTCCCTCCCATGGACAGGGATACCTTCAACAATCCCAKGCTGCTCCCAGCCCSGTCCAACCTGGCCTTGGACACATCCAGGGATGGGGCACCCACAGCTTCTACTGCAGCCKCCCCACCCTCACAGGGATGAATTGCTCSCTAACATCTAATCCTGCTCTCTGGTATTTAAAGCCATTGCCCCTTGTTCTGTCACTGCATGTATGAAAGTCCCTCTCCTTGACTCTTCCTTCAAACTTGGCGTCTCACTCTCCCTGAGTCTCCGAGAGTCGCAGAGCTGGGTGGCCTCAGTGGCAGCCCCTGTGAAGCTCTGCCTTGGTTTTCACTGCATGTTGTCCCAGCAGCTCTGCTGGAGGGCAGCAGCTCCCGGGGCTCTCACAAGGTCCCTGCTCCTGCTCACAGACAGCTGAACTGTGCCTGGCCCGGGGGCCAGACCAATGCAAACAGCGGGGCAGCAGCACCGCGGCCACGCGCCGGCCCCGGGGCAGGGTCAGCACACGGCGGGGTCAGCACCGAGGGACAGGGTCAGCACCGAGGGACAGGGTCAGCACTCAGCTGCTCCACCAACAGCCTGTTGCTACCCTGCCCAGCCATCCCAAACCTTCCCAGCCATCCTGACCCTGTCCTGACCCATCCCAAACCTTCCCAGCCATCCCAGCCCTGCCCAGCCATCCTGTTCCTCGGATGCAGCCCCATTCCCAGCTGGGATGGCTCCAGCCTGTGGGCATTTCAGAAAAGTTTTCACTCACCTCATTTATTTCTCTTCTCCTTTGGATAATTATTAGAAGTGGCGACACAGCAACTTTTTGTGTCTCTTTTCTCACATCTCTGCAGTGGGCTCTAACTGGCCTCCAGGAATTGTGGGCATGGAAAGGACTGGCTCAGATTTACTTTTTTTCCTCAGTTTCTTGCACAGAGCAGTTTGCTGCCTGACGGGGATATGCTGATGCTATTAGTGACCCCGAAGGACACACAACAACTCTGATGTATCATCACAAAGTACCAGCCTTCCTCAGTCAAAAAAGCTGAGAGATGATGACTTACAGAGGGCTCTGCTGCTGTTCCAACTCCTGTACTCCATGGATGAAGTCAGGGCTCCTGCTGCTGCCTTGTCCTCCTTTCTGTTCTACACTAGTGCCTGGTGAAAACAGCAGAAATTAGAACTCAGATGCATGAAAGGAAAGGACGCCAAGGGGAAAAAGAGTTGAGAAATGCCCAGCCATTTGTAAAAGAAACTTTATTAGTTCAACTCCTTGTCTGCCATGATTTACTGTCCCGTTTTCCTCCTTTCTTAGGATCCAGGAAGGTAAAATAATAACCATTTTGCTTCCTCCTCCTAGAAGCAAAATAAATAGCGGAGAGGAAGGTATATAAGAACCATCCTAGAGAGGGAATAATTTATCAGTGGTTGTAGACTGTACTGGGAAGGTTTTTCTTTTAATCCCAGTGAAATTTGGGCTAAGGGGTAATCATCTGACATCATGGCATTATCTTAATCTAAGTCACTTGCTCTCCACGCTGGCACTTGTGCCTTCATATTAAGCAATCACAGAAAWAGAGCCTGTGACATCCAGATCTGTATTTACAATTTAGCTAAAACACAGTTCATTATACTTATTACTTTAGCTATAAAATATTTACCTGAATTAAAACAGTGTGTTCCAAAACCTGCACACAATGACACAASTAAGTTGGAATCCTCTTTATGTCACTCTGCAATCTCAAATGTCTTGACTTGACAGATTTGGGGCATGTGGGACTGATGTGGGAGCCAGACAACCACAGCCTGGTTTGGGTTGGGAAGGTCCTTAGCGCTCTTCAGTTCCCCTCACCTTCACTGTCCCAAGTTGCTCCAAGCCCCATCCAACACGATCCACAAGATCTCCCAGGTGAGGAGCCACGAGACACAAACACTGGGACAAGCACATGTGTGTAAGCAGAAGATAGAGGAGATACCTCCCATCTCTGCTCAAACACTTCTCTGCTGCTGCAATCTCACTCCACAATGGAAAAATTGAGACTTCCTCTCATGCCAAAGAGCCCCTCCACCCCATGGGAGCTGCTGGCACCCTTTGGAAGCCTGATGGTGAGTGACACAGCTTGGGGGCAGACATGGCTCATCCAGGGAAACCACAGTCTGCACATGGAGCTCCTCAGCTCCAGACAAGCCCTGAGCAGCCTCTTGCATTATCTACCTAGAGATGATTATCTTTGACACCTTTGGATTCCTGGGGGAAGAGCTCTCTGAGTTATCACACATTTCACGTTCCCRAACACAGCTGGAAAGTGTTACACCTGCTTTTTGAGCACTGTGTGCCTGGAAATAAAGGTTAAGCAACTTCCTTATGGTTCTTTCATGTACCAAGAGGGAGAAACAAATCAAAAGCACAATTCTCTGCTCCAAATCAGCTTRGCAAGACAACCCTTACCTCTGTCTGGGTCACAGTTCAGTAAGGCTTTTCATCTTGACCGTAATAATTTGGGCCACCCCTCCTTTTGCTTATAAATAGAGCACGGAGTTCTGGTAACATCTTAGGTGGGCCTTAAACAAAGGAACAGTTGGCACAAGGGGTCAGCACAAGTGACCAGACAAAGTACAAGTGAAGGGGAGTAAATCATTAGCTCGAGAGACAGGCCTTGAACCAGATCACTGCAGCAGATGTAGACTTAGCAATTCCCTCTTGCTCCAAAGCAAACTTTGGCCCTGTAATAACTGGCAGCTGATGCAATGATAAGAGAATGAAGTCTATAAAAATGTAGCTGAAAGCCTGGGAAGTCCTGACTGGAGCTCTTCCTGCCTCCTCCGCCCACGGCTGCTCCAAGTGACAGCTCCCGCTGGGAAGATGCACTGGGGGAAAGTGATGGCAGCCCTCCTGCTCTGCTCACTGCTGCTCAGCCAGGTAAACTGAGATCATATTGAAATCAACTGGTAGAAATAAACTGTTTAAAGGGCTAATTCAAAGGACAGACAGTGCATAAAAGCTGCTATGATTTGGATGGACAACTGGCAGGAGTTTAGAGGTGACAGCAGGGCTTTTAGAGGATTCAGCATCATAAAAATGCAGTTATTGCCTCATGAACACTGGGCTATTCTGAGCCATAACTGAGCCAGTGATTCTGCCTTCCCTCCCAAGAAGATTAAAACCATCATTAATTTTGGTGCACATTTCTTTGGGGTTGGGCTGCAAGCAATGCTTTACCAGAGAGTGCTGTGATCTGAAAACCAGAAAGGTTTCAAGTGCTTCACTTAAAAATTAAGAATATTGACTCAGCAGTAGAACAAGGAAGTGCTGCAGCTGCCACGTGTCCTGACGGTCACCCTGCTCTGTTGCAGACCCACAGTGCGTCCCTGTCCCAGAGCCAGCCCCACGTGCAGCCCCGCAGTCCCCGGCAGCGGCGGATGACRCCTTTCTGGAGAGGAGTGTCCCTGAGACCCATCGGAGCCTCGTGCAGGGACAACAGCGAGTGCCTCACCATGCTCTGCAGGTAACCACRCTCCACAGGCTGCCATGGAAAAGAACTTCCCACCTGGGCTCATCCAAACGGGAGCCAGAGGTCACTCTGTGCATAAAAAAAAAGATACCAGGAATAGGGATGGGGCAAGAGACTCAGACTCTTTAGTAAGCACAGCAAACAGAGCAGAGTCCAGGCTTCTCGACTGCCAGCCCCAGTCCTTTCACTGCAACCCCAAATAACCTGGCTGAGCAAAGAGAACAGAGGGTCCAGGCAGTTTTTGGGCAACTTAAAGCCCTTACCATTAATCTTTCCTTTTAAAACCTGTGCTACGGACAAGTGAGAAAGCCTGTGTTAATATCTTACCCTAAATGAATCACTTCACAATGATTATTTAAGCTCATCGTTCAAAAAAATAACTACAGTTATTTAGTTCTTACTAAACAGTAACAAAAGTTATTTAGTTCTTACTAGACATGAGCAAATTGTCCAACTACAGACACKTATATTGATGGTTAAAATTGCTACTTAGTGACTGAAAGGTGATTTTGTGTGGCATCTGCTGTATGCATATACCAGCAGTCAGGGTAGAAAACAATAATTTTCTGCTACATGTAAATAGTAGTAATGGATAAGTATATCCTATTATTAATTAATATTATCCTGAACAAGTTTATTTAATGTTACAAGTAAGTAGGATAAGTAAGCAAATAGGACAGGGTGGTTGGGCTGCTAGGCTGTGTTTGAAATGCATCCCTGGTTCCCTGACTGCCAGAGCTGAGCTGGAACAGCAGCTCCAGAGGCAGAGCCAGAGCAGGAGCCATGGACAGCACTGCAGCTGCTCCCCATCCCTGCAMGGAGCCTCCAGCCCTGGGCAGYAACTGATGGAGTTCTGCTGGAAAASAGACYAAAAATGRATCAAAACTGACTGAACAGTTGAGGGGAATAGTTCCATGAACACAGCACTGTTGCATGGGGGCACAGAGATGTACCTGGGAACCCTGCCTGAGCCTGGCAGTGCCAATCCCAGCTCCAGGGCTCCTTATTGAGCCTGGTAGTGCCAATCCCAGCTCCAGGGCTCCTTATTGAGCCTGGTAGTGCCAATCCCAGCTCCAGGGCTCCTTATTGAGCCTGGCAGTGCCAATCCCAGCTCCAGGGCTCCTGATTAAGCCTGGCAGTGCCAATCCCAGCTCCCAGTGCCTCACAATGGTTTTTTTTTTTCCAGGAAAAACCGCTGCCTCCTCTCCACGGCCTCGGCGTGAGCTGGCACCAAGCACAGCCTGCACTGTTACTGCTGACCCTGCTCCATACACTTGGGATGTATTTATTGACTGCTCAGGAGCTGCAAGGRCCTCGAGCAATCAGAGTATTTAATATTTCTGTCACATGAAATAAAAGGACTGATAAAAGGACTTCAAAGAGCTCGAGAGCATCTCCTTCCACAGCCACGCCTCAGGAGGCCTCTGGCCAAGCTCAATAAAAGGGCTCTGCATCTCCTGCTCGTTTGGTTTTTTTGTAATGCTTCCCATTATTTATTTGAAGGTGTGAATTAAAATATATGTTCAGTAAAGCAGCTTGGTTTTCCTTGTATCTCGAGCAAAGGGGAYGGTGAGCACAGACTGGGGCTCAGCTCCAGCCAGACTTTGGACATTTATCCTTCCACCTGGCAAAAGCATAAAGTAGATCAGGCCCCATCTCCTCCCAATCCAGCTCTTATCAGTCCTCAGATAAAGGCCTGTTAGAAAGAGGGAGCCAAACTGATAATACTGATAGCAATTCCAATATCCCAAATATATCCAGCGATAAGTGGRAGGAAAACTATTTACKTKTAATTACTTCTAATCAAATTTRCTGAAATACATGTCCTAGACTGACTTCTGCCACTGACCTTATCTCCTGTTTTAAAATGAATTGATCAAAACGCTGTTTTGATCTGCTGGATGTTGACTTGGAGGCTGAAAGACAAAAAAAGGAAAATCAGCAAGTCTGGACACACACATTGGATRTCACTTTTGTTAAACAGAGCAGTGGGATCAAGGAAAGAAAATTCTGCCTAAAAATGCCCTTCCAGGGAGGAGAGGGCCCCACGAAACAGATGCAGGCACAGGGGGTTGGAAGTTTAATACAGAAAATCTATTTGATATTTATTAAACTTAGTTTCTCCAGTTACAGTTTTGCATTGTACAAAGCATTTTAATGACACAGTAGTTAAAAAGATCTTTACAAATTGAAATGTGATACCCTTTTCTCCAAATATTTTAATTGCCATAAATTTGTTTAAAAATACACATTAAACGCATGTTTCAGACACTAAACTTTCTATAATCTCAATACCACAAAATACATAGAATATACTATACAGATGTGGAAAAAATCTAGTTAGTATATAATACTTTGCTCACCATTAACAGCTTTATTACGTGAAATGCACATACTGACTTAGAAATCCTAATTTTGAGCCCCAAAGTACCCTTTGAAATTTCAATAGTATTGCAACAAATAAAATCACAGTTTGTTTATTTTTTTAGGTTTTGGTTGAAGACAGATGCCCAAATCTTTTGATAGAAAACAAAATGTAACACATGGACTTGTCATGTACAAAGCATAAAACAGAGACATCCCATTAGTTACTAACAGTACCTTTCTGTAGGATTAATCAGGGCTTCATTTATAAGTGACAGGTTAAAAGTTACCTCCCCCCCAGCCCTCCCCCAAAAGAAAAAAACCCTTCTTCACCAAATAATAATTTCAAATAAGATAAAGGATTTTTAATAAATATATAAGCACTTTATCCTCCATATACAAAATTTTTTTAAAACAATTTAAAAGGGGGACCAGATACAAATGTCAGGAACTGTGCTTGGAAAGGCATGCCTGGTCCTTAGAGTAGAGTTTGGGATGTGGAATGCCAAGGCAGCCCCAGGAGTTTGGGATGTGGAATACCGCGGCAGTGCCATGTCCCGGGACAGGGATGGAGACTGGAGAAGGGAGTGCTGCCCCAGGAACGGGCTCTGGGACCCAGGAACGGGCACTGGGACCCAGGAACGGGCACTGGGACCCAGGAACGGGCACTGGGACCCAGGAACGCGCACTGGGACCCAGGAACGCGCACTGGGACCCAGGAACGGGCACTGGGACCCAGGAACGGGCACTGGGACCCAGGAACGGGCACTGGGACCCAGGAACGGGCACTGGGACCCAGGAACGGGGCACTGGGACCCAGGAACGGGCTCTGGGACCCAGGAACGGGCTCTGGGACCCAGGAACGGGGCATTCTGCCAAGGGCTTCCCAGGTGGAATTGAAAGAGGGGAAGCACAGCCACATCACCAGCCCAGCTCCCTGCGGGCTGCCCCAGCAGCTGGAATTGCTCCACGATGGATGCAGGGGCTGAGCCCTTCCCTCCCCAAGGGCACCACAGACCATCCCTCCACCACTCGGACACACCACGATTCCCACTGCCACTCCCTGCTTGGGAAAGCCCTCCTGGAATAGCTCTGGGTCTGGGGGAGTTGGCAGCAAAGCTCTGGCTCCTCTCTGTCCTTMAGGATGCCCAGCACTGACCTCATTGCTCGGGAACGGGGCTTTCCAGAACACTGACACATCACRTGGAGAAATTTCAACCCTGACCTAAGGATTTGTCGGGAAGGTAAGAATTTGGAAGTTTTTTACTCCCCAATGGGTAATTCAAACTTGACTTGCTCAGGCCCTTGTGGATCTGCCTCAATGGAAACACTGCAGTGACAACAAAGATCTGTTCAGAAAATGACATTAAATACAGCAAAGGTAGTTTCTCTCTCTTTCCAGCAGTTTGCCTTTTTTGGGCAAACCCCATAATTCTCTGCCTACGGCTTTTTTTTTTACTTGCCCCAGGCAAGTGCTACATCATTCCCATAAATTCTGACTCTCTGTGTGTTGGGGCCATTCATAAATACRTTTCAGGGCATTTTTTGTTACCACAGCAATCAAGCCTCAGCAATCTAAAGGAATATACATTGCACTCCTGGATAATATGCAATATTTATCACCAATAAGATGGTGACTCAGCACTCAATAAATAATATATCAATATAGTCAGTTGCACCATAATCTAAAAACAAGTATAACATATACTTTGGACAGACTGAGTCATATATATATACATATATATTAAAAGACACATACAATACAAATTGCATACTGCCATYGAAGCCAAGGAGAGCCGTCCGTCTGCTCTGCTTTATGGCTGAGATTCAAATCAAAACAAAACTCTTGGGCTGGTTTACTCTGGTGTCCTGAAGATTTGTTTGGAATTATAAATGGTTTGCACCTTTATCACCTGGAACCTGCAAGTCTGAGAGMAAAGTCAAACAGCACAGATAGCTGAGCAAGCCTAGTCTGATTGAGCCATTTTTAAGATTCACCAACTGGGGCCATGATCAGCAAGGGAATTAAAATTACAGTRTTGATATGTATTAATACATATTCCCTGCCCAGGGAATAATTTGGGAAGCCAGGACTGGGGAGTTCCTCCTCGGTCACTCCTGTGACCTGCACTCCCTGTGTGGTGCTGGGAGCTGCCAAGGACAGGGACAGAGCCCTCCTACTTTGGCAGAGGGATGGAAGCCTAGGATGCATTTGCTCTTTTTTTTGGCTATAAAATCTGATCAAGTACAGAAAACTTTCCTCTTGGAAACAAGGGTCAATCCCAAATTAAGCCATGCTTTTGGAATTGTGAGGTTTGAATGGATCTGTTTGCACCAGYCCCAGCTGCACAAGGCATTTCCTGTCCATCCCCAAACCCCCAAGCACGGACACAACACCTGGGACAGCACTCCAGAGGATATTCCAGCATGGAATTCACCCTTCAGCTGGGACACTTCCAACCAGCTCAGGTCCACATGTTGACACGATGCCAAAAAAAGCCTTCTGGTTGTTTGAAGCCAATTTCTAAGATCCACTGCTCTAGGGATAAGCGATGCAGTTTTTTTTTTTTAAGAGGCCAATTTCGTGTGACACCAAAAGGTATTTGTGGGACTCTAGTTAAGGAAAAAAAATTCCCCGAGATGAGACCATTCCTGCTGGCAGCAATGGTGACTGTGCACAAAGGAGCAAGCCAAGAACAGCCACGCTGGCTAGTGCAGCACTACACACAAACCCACCCATGAATGCAACTTCTACGAAGGGATTTCTCAGCGTCAGAGGTGTGCGAGGCACTTCAGAGGAGGAAAGGAAACACAGCTGACAGTGTCCCATGCCCACGGCGGGGAGTTTGAGGGTACAGAGTTCTGTCTCCAACAGCACAGACTAACAGAAAGGTGACCTTGCACAGTGATTCCATAAAAAGGATGCTCCGACAGACCTGAAGAGTCGAGTCGGGGAGAGCCCCAGGTCTGTTCCCCGTTTATCAATCCGGACGTAGCAAAGCTTTTCTGGAAGTACAAAACACGCTGGGACGCAAAGGAAGCTCTACGAAGATGCAGCTACCTTGTAGTAGGTTACTAATTTGCAAAACTTCTAAACTCTTAAAGCCCATAGGACATACTGCAGTACTAAGGAGCGTAGAATTCTATTCCTTCTCTCGAGGTTGCCGTGATTTTGGCACTTAACTACACCTACACAAAAAATTTAGTGCAATAATTTTCCTGAACATGCACGTTCATATCTGGTACAGAATAAAGGGTTCAAYGGGAGAGAAAACAAAGCAGCATTCCACAATCTCACTCCAAAGGATTCAGAGTTGGACTCTTGGGAAGGAGACCACCGCGATGAGTCGGTTTGTGTGACAGACACTGGGACTTTGAAAAAGGAAATGGAATTTTACCCAAGTACTGCAGAAGACCACTGCATACAGTATACCTGGTCCTGCTGTAAAACATCTTGTAAACAGTTCATAAAATCTTCATCTAAAAGTAAGGCATAAGGCACACCAGACATGTTGGGGGCACTAAGCAATACTGAAAGCAGTAGCATTTGAAACCTTTAACTCAGACAAGCACCTCAYATGGAAAGGTACTTTGGTTTGCACTCAGAGAGGGGCCACCTGCAGCTCCACAGACCCTGTGTGTGGCACCCAGCGGCCCCTCGGGAGCGGACGTTACGTGACATGAACGGGACCTTCATTAGCACGGGGTAAAGCCAAGTTTTCCATCCATCCTGCACCAGAACAGTGGTTCCTGCAGGAGCAGTGTGCTCCTGCCCCACGGTGGCTGCTGCACTGCCAGCCTGTAGTGTCCATCACCCAGCAGACCCTAAGAGGACAAAAACGGACCTCGAGTTCTACTAAAGATTCCTGGTTTCTCAGTCAATGGAAAAGATGCAAATGACGGTTCTGGTAGGAATTGAACTACTCTTGGGTTTGGAACCACAAAGTTCCCCKATTTTGTAACTGTCAAAAAGTGACGAGCACAGAAACAAAAGGTATTTGAAATGAAGAGATGCAAAAAAGCACGAGATTGTCCTTTTCCAAAGCCTTTCCTGTTTGCATCGCACCCATTGGACTGAAGGTCATTCCTACACCATTACCTGGACGTTACATTAAATGCAAATTACTGTAATGTTTTGTGATTGTTATAGTGTTAATCGATGGCTTGAAG